ACTTGACTAATAGATTATAAAAATGATCCTTCGGGCCAGAGAGATAGTAGATGGGTTAAAACAAATATCCTACATGTGGCTTACCCCAGCTGATCCCTGCCACCACATGGTCACTTGAGTATAGCCCAGAGAGGCTCCCAAGCACCATTAGGTATGGCCCAAACTCCACCCAACACACATCACACATACACACATACACACACACACACACACACACACACACACACACACACACCTGATTATCAACTTCCATGTTTTTCTTTCCTTCTTTCTCACACATACTAAACAAGCAAAAAAATTGTATTCTGACTAAATAATCTCTTAACCCAATTATCCAATTAATTTACAAAACATCTAGAAACATAAAGTTTGCATTGCCCCAAATGACAGGAAGTACAATGTCACCAGCAATTTTTGAAACTACAAAGAGCTCTCTGGAGAAGCAGTGAAGTTAACCAGAGGGATAGAGTCCGTGTTTGGCCTCCAGTAATGACTTGACAATGTTTCCTTCCCTAACAGGCAAGACGAGCAAAGAGTTAAGACTGGAGGCACTTGCTTTGTACCAAAGGCTGCAAGAAAAGAAAAAGAACAAAAGGAGGGGAAAAAAAGAAATTCTCCTTCCCAGTTAGACAAAACTCTAGGTTTTATACTCCTATGACCTAGATAAAATCAAAGAGATCATACAGAATGTTCCTGGGAAGAAAAAAGATCTTAACTCTCAGCTACTTGGACAACTTTTCAAGCTCAGAAAATGTCTTTACAAGGGAATATTGAAACAGACAGAAGCAGAAGTTCATGGGATAAAAACAGTAAAAGATCTTAAATAAAGCGAAACTCAGTGTCGGAAAGCTAGGACCACATTGTCTCAACTTCCCATTACTTTCTCTAATAACCTATACCCAGACTCTTTAAAAAAAAAACTCTAGTGCTTTGAATTCCCACAAGGAAATATCATTTTTCAGGGGGAAAAGTGAAATACATTTTCACGTATAGTAGTGAGAAGTGATGAAATAGGGCATTGGGCTGAAAGGGTCAGAGAATCTTTCAACTGTTCTCATCAGTATAGAGAGTCATCCATAATGGAGACACACCAGGTACAAACTCAGACTTCAGATACTTCAGCTGGGCTGAATTCTTTCATAATGAAGATAGCACATTCCCAAATCCAGCTTACAAATTTTATGAACTAATGGATATTGCAAATTAGACTGTATTATATATTAACAAGTCTTTTGACAAATCCAACGCAGCTTTGGAATCACACTTAACATTTATGCTGTGATACTTTGTTTGGGGCCACATCTGGCAGTGCTCAGGAGCTCCTTCTGGCGAATCGCAGCAGGGGTGGCCCACAGTTGCACTCAGGGAACTGTGCAATTATGGGGTATGCAGCCTGGGTCTCCTAAACACAAAGCATGAACCTTAAGCTTTTGCACCCTCTTCCTGGTCCAGCTCTGGTTCTTAATGCACAGTTCAGAATTCTAGAAGCTCCAATGGAGAAGGGCCCAAGAAGTAGTACCAGAGTAATAAAGACAGATGGATTTCACTGAACTCTTATAAATGACAGGGATTGTGTGGGGAGTGAGAGTGGGGGAGAAGGAACATTAGTACAATTAATTGCCGTGGAAAGCTTAGGGGTGAAAGGGCCAAAATCAATGTATTAATGACATAACATTAGTCACTCAACCAAGCCAACAAGAAATTCTATACAGCAGAAAAATTCTATTTATGTTGCACTAGTAAGAAAAATATTAGACTTTTCTATAAATATTAACCCCCAAATCAGAGATTTCCACCCAATAATAACTTATTTTTGTAAAGGTCATCATTGAATTTCATAAAATAAAATATGAACAATATATAATTCATGGCCTTTTCCAAAAAATGTATATTTACTTAACACTACTAAACAATTAACAATTGGTTTAGGCTGTAAATTTTAAGTCCCACATTTTGAACACTAGTAAAAATGCATGACTTATTTTTCACCAAGTCTTTTTCCACTTAGGTATGATAGAACCATAGAACGTGTCCTTTGCAGTGAATTTTGGCACTTGATACAACTGAGACTTTAGTGTCCAGTTATATAATTCCAGTAATTGCCTTTAATCTGGAATTCCAATATTCTGTGACAACAGTATTGCTTTTAACCTTAAATGCTTGTCAGCATTGCTTTAGTAACATCCCCCTGCCCCAGCCTCAGATAACAGACTGGAATCTATCAGAGGCTGGTCAGGGTTAATCTATAAGCCAGAGATCTCTCTTACAGACCTTGACAAAGATCATATTAGAGGGTAAAGAGTATGAAACAAATGTTGTAGTGGGAAGATTTTTAATAAAGCAGATCCAAACGATGACTTCAAAAAGGAACTATAAAGTATAAATTGAAAATATACATGTTAAAACAAAATATCCTTTCTCTTAATTTATATGCATATTTTTCAAATGCTTCTGTGTTGGCTCTCACTGAACCCTGTGAGGTAGAATGAGCATATTTCCTCTTAGTTATAATTATTGAAAGATGCACTATTTTAATGAAACTAAAAATACTATTTCAGTAAGTCTAACGTAGTTTATTTACTTATATTACTATTTAAAAAAATAAAAAGGAATCATCAAGTAAGCATCATTAAATTAGAACTTTAAAATGGGTTATTTTAGAGATACCACTGGATCTAATAACAAAGTTTGAGTGTTTTTTTTTTTCTTTTAAGCACAGTATTTTGGTTCCAAGTGAAGCTCGTATCCAGTGCCCAAGGATTTAAAAACTGTTGAGCAAATATCAGTACGTAAGGAAAAGAGAATAAATGGTGTATAAGATTAGAGTAAAACAAGTTCATTAACCAATGTCATTTTGATATCAACATACAAGAATTCAAAATAATTAAATGAAGTGCTTTCTCAGCAAGTTTGTTTGTACACTTAACAGATAAAGAAAAATAAACACTGACTAGGCTCAAGCAAAGCTGAAGGAAGCTCAGAGAAACACACTTTTACTTCCAGTTTTGACTATTGTATATGAATAACCTACTTCCCCGCCCCCAACACTCAGCCCTAGTCATCTCTCAGTCATCTCAAGAGCTTTCCAAATCAAAAGGGAAATAAAAATAAGGGTAGAGAAAGACTAGAATTAGAGAAATGGATAAAGATTTTGGTAAAGATTGTTTGAATCAATTTTTTAAAGTCTAAAAATACGAATCTGTCATCAGAAAATAAACAGCAACTGTCAGAACCGATAGAAAAATATCTCTGCTCAATTCTCATGTATTTCATGTAAAATTTCATTTCATTTCAGCTAAAAAGTAATTTTTAGTTTTCTTTCCTTTTTCTTTGCTGCCACCCTCATATTAGTGAAAATAATAAAGTGGAAAGGATTAGCCTCCTCTCACTGCCTTCTTCATTATACATCTCTCATCTAATACAGAATATTAAGATAATAATGATGATAATAAAGACAGCCATCTCATTGTACAAAGTCAATTCCTAATGTCTCAAAACAGCGTGAAGGACCCTGCATCCCACATAACCTCCTCCATTTGACTACTGATACCCCAGCTCATGACAGAGACAGACGCTGCGGAAACGCCACAAAACCTGGGCCTACCCAGGTAAGCTCTGACCAGCGCAGATCAGGGCCTCCACACTTGGGTCCCTGCCTAGTCTTGGCCCTGAGCCCTGCCGCCAGCATCCTTGCTCAAGAGTGAGCCCGAAACACCCTTTCTGGATCCAGCCTGACAGTTGGATCTCCAGGTGTTTCTCAGCTCTGCTAGGCCCCACATTCCCGTTTCCCTCGGTGGTCCTGTAGTCTATGCCTCATAGGATCACCAGCAGAACAAACAACAGATTAAGGAAGATTGCTTACCTACATTACAAAATATGTAATCTCGGCTAGGATGGCAGAAACAGGGTGTATGTTGGGGGGCGGTTTCCCCTGGGGGGGAAGGGTGAGGGGAGGCATGCGCATTCATCAGAAGGCCACATTTTGAGCCTGACTTTCAGAGCTGCAGGTTCTGGGATAGTCCTTTACAGGGATGAATCAAAACCAAGTGTTGATAGAATGTGTAGATTGGCAAAACTCCCTTTTGGAAAAACCTACTGCATCTCTGGTAAAGGTGATCAGGAGTGCTGGACTGTTTGTGCACTCCTGCTTGATATGTCACGAGGCTTCAGAAGAGAAGGGCAAAGGCACACAATTCTGTCTTTTCCATCAGACCAAGACAAGTTGAACCTTTCCAGGATTGAGCAGGCCCATGTTTAAGGCAGTATTCACCAAAAATGCACACTGATTCTTCACCCAACCTAGTCCAGGGAAATTATTCAACGGAAACATAAACTGTATAACCCAAATGGCCTCACAATTATATCTCTGGGAAATCAAGTCCAAATTAAATTAGACCAGGCTTTTAGACTTCCAAAGATCACATTTTCTTGTTTGCGCCAGCTCATTTCAACACTCAGAACTTCTCTTACAGATCATTTTCAAGGCCATCTCTGGCTGTCACCTCTTAAGCAAAATCTGATATATAAAATTAAAAGGGAAATTTGGTGAGGTCCAACCCTTAGAGAAAGACGTTAAGGGGGGAGATTCTTACCTCCTTCAATAGATGCCAAAATGTTCATTATTTTAACCTCTTTTCTAGCAAAAACAGCACCAAAAAAAATCTCCTTTCTATGCTCCTAGCAGGCCATATACATAGCACCTAACGAAACACAAATGTCTAAAACTAAGTGTATCCATATGGAGAACCTTAAAGCACACCCAAGAAGGGCTCTGAAATACACACGGGGTCCCCGCTCGCCACGAACAGGTCCGTGTCGAAATGCTTAGATTCAATACTGACATCCATAAGGTGTCAAACCACGCTGGTCCCTGGCAGATGAGGCCAGCAACTCTCAACTTTGGCCCCTCTTTAGACTTGAGACATCCAGCAGTCATGCCCCCACTGGCAAGCCCGAGCGCTAGGGGGGACAAGGAGAAAACGAAGAGGCCAGACACTCACATTTCGGTTATGTTCTCGGGGTCTGCATTGTTAGCGTCCAATCGGGGAAATGCCACGATGCCCGGAGAAGCGTCGCTGCACCAGATTCTAGAGGCGCTGCACTGGCAGGACGCGGGGCAGGCGAAGGCAGCCTTGCAGAAGGCCAGCGCTAGCCAGCACAAGCCCCAGAGGCACCCCACCGCAGGTCCATGCCACCTCGTCGGGAACATCTTAGACGTCAGCGCCAGCCCAAGTGGGCCCGAGTGCGTGTCCCCGCACCGCGCTGAGCAGCCCTGGCCGCGCTGGCCGCGCTGTCGCGTCTGGGTGTTGGGTGCCGCGCGCGCGTCCCGGTGGGCCGCACCGTTCACAGGACCCGGGACATCGCCAGCTGCCTCGCAGGGGGCGCTGCCTCGGCTCGGGACTCCGCCACGGCCTCCGCTACATGGCCCGGCGCGCCGGCCAACCTCGGCTCAGGCTCCCGGCGATGCTCAGCAGAATCCAGGACACACCTCGGGGCTGAGGACAAACACACCAGCATGAGACCGAGCGCCCGAGCGGGCATCGCGCACCCCGCACTCCTCCCGCGCCGTGTCGCTGCCCCCCAAGCCGGCCGCAGGCTGGACGGACGGACGCGCGGCTCCCTCCCGGGGCTCAGCCCTCCCGCCCGAGAGCACTGACCCCGGGGCCACCTGCGTGCCCACCCGCTTTCCGAGGCACCAGCCCCGAGCCAGGCCGGACGAAGGACCCAGAGCACCGGGAGACGCCAGCGGCTGAGGCTCGCGCGGGAGCCCCCAATGATGCTGCAGAATCCGCCGCCGCCGCCGAGCTCGGGGGGCGCGGGCAGGTGGCGCGTCGCGTCCCACCTGGGGAGTCCCGGGGGGGCGCGAGGGCCGAGCCTGCGGGTCGCCGTCCGCGCTCTCACCCGCTCCTTGCTCCCGCCGCCAGCGCGCACCGCCCCGTTCCAGCCCGAGCCCGAGCCGCCGCCGCCTCGGCTACTGCTGGCGAAGTGACGTGAGGGCTGACGCAGAGCAGGGGCAGAAACTCCAGAAATTAGTCTGAAATCCAAAAACACACTCGCACATCCACACAGCCCAGAACACCCTCCAGACAAAAGCGACAGGGAGGGGAGGGGAGACGGAGGCGAGCGGGCGGGGGCGGCTGGGGGCCCTGGCCTGCGCGCACGCAGCCTGGGGGAGGGCAGCCGCGCACACGCACACCAACGGCCCGGACACGCACGCCCGTGTGTGTGCGTGTGTGTGTGTGTGTGTGCGCCTGTGTGTGTGTGCGTGCTCACAGCCAGGTACCTCGCCGCTCCGCCCTCGGCTCCCGCTGCAAGGAACGTCCCTGCTGCAGTCACTGCGCAGCCCGAAATGGAAACCCGGCTGGGTGGGGCGAGGGGGCGCGGATGCTTATTATAGGCACCCTCTCTCCCCCCCCCAACCCCCGAAAGAGCGAGCTACCCTAAAAGCAAATGCATACTATAACAGCACAACGCCTTCAGCCTCGGTCCCCCAGGCACACTGTCCCCGTTCCAGGTCATCAATTTGGAGTCTGGGCTTGGGGAGTGTCTCCCAGTGGGTACTTGTGCAGAGGGCAGGGGCTTTCTGTGTCCACGGAGCCCTGTCCGCGTGGACTTTTCCCTGCGGGTTTGCAGACACGGGAAACAGACACGCGGTTGGAGCGGGACTCGCCTGACGCAGACCGGGGCGCGGGATTGCGCGGGACTGCCGGGGCCTGTCATGTGTCGCGCCGCATCACTGAAGCCGTCCCACCAGCTCGCAGGATGGAGTCGTTCCTAGACTGTGCCCCCCCGCTCCTCCCCCGCTCCCGGAGGCCCAGCCAAACGCGGGGTGCGCCCGCCTTTGCCCCCGCGCCGTGCCCGGCGTGTTTCGTGCGCGCGCGGGTGTGCGGTGGACCTTGAGGGGCGCCCACGCTGGCCGTAGCTCCGTCAGCCCCAGCTCCCAGGGCTCAGGCGCGGGCGGGCCGCGGGGTCTCATCGGGGACAAACAGGCGGTCAGGGAGGGCGGGGGGGAACCGCGGCTGCTCTCCGGACAGCTCCGGGCTGGCTGCGGGGCTTCCGCGCGCGGTCAGCATCCCGCCTTCACGCGCGCCGCCGGGGAGGCTGCTTTTCCGCAGTCATTTGCGGGAACGCAGGGATCTGCGCCGCAGTGCTGCGCTCTCGGGCTCTGGCGCCCCCGCGCGGGCAGAGCGGGCCCTGCGCGCCGGGCTCCGTCCCGCGGCCGAGTCTGCGCGCGGCTCGCCCAGCTCCCCGGTACCCGGCAGGAGCAGGTCCCTGGGGCGCCAGGAGGAGGACGCGAAGGCACTGCATCCAATGTGAAGGGGCGCCACCCCTTACCCGCGGAGGCTGGAGCGGGGACGATAGGGAAACGTTCCCCATCTAAACGGTCTGCTCCTGGCTCTGCACCGAGCCGAAGCGCGGTCACGGGGTCCGGCGAGGAGCCTGAGCGTTATGTGCAACGGCGGGAAAGCTCGCGCAGCCCGCAGCATCTCTGCCGTTTCTGAAGACGTCGCTAGGCTGTGACACGCACTGGGTGGTGGGTGCGCTGGACGCCAGGGGAAGCGAGTGTATCTGCTAGGCCTCTCCCCTGCCGGGGTAGGTGAGCCAAGCCGGGATGTCAAGAGCACACAGGGCACACGTGTATGAGACAATCACCCAGTGAGAAGCCTTCGCCATCCCTGCAGGGGGAACTGAAATGGAGCGTCTGCGGAACTGGGGTTGGGGGGGAAGGGGGAGGGGATGAGCAAAATCTCCCCAGTTTCCCTCCTCCACCTTGGGAAAACCCGTTTGTACTCAATGCAACATTCCAAGAGTACTGTGTTGGATTATTTTTTGGAATGTTTATTGTAGTAATACATAGGGTTCTGTGCCTATAAGTAGCACTGTAGCACTGTTCTCCCGTTTTTCACAGATTTGCTGGAGTGGGCACCAGTATGGTCTCCATTGTGAGACTTGTTGTTACTGTTTTTGGAATATCGAATATGCCATGGGGAGCTTGCCAGGTTAGTACCCTGCGGTGTGCCTATAAGTAGCTACTAAATATACTTCACAGATATCCCCAGTAAAATCCTATCTGGTGTCCCTGGTACTGATTGCACCTCTTCAGAGCTTCCTCTTCCGTAGGGCTTGTCTTTTAGCATCTTTTACTTTTTATTGTTATTTTTTATTGTATTCTCCAGTAGAATGAAAAAAAACACACACAAAGTCAAATGTTTATTAAATATATATTGTCTATATATTTGAGAATATAGTAGGTATTCAAAAGGTGTTTATATGTCTAATGAACACATGAGATGAACTGCTTGGGGCCCCTGGAATAAACCATTGGTGTGCTCAGGTTAACATTTTTCCCCTCAGGTCCGAGCAAACCCAATTGCCCCAAAGCGTGTCCCTCGTCTTCACCATCTTTTAATTTCCCCTTGGCACAGTATGTCTTGCCTTCTCTAGCACTTACTGACGGGGCATTGTTGGACGCAGGGCTTCCATTGATGTGGTGCAGCTCATGGGGGTAGGGCCAGAGTCATATTCATGAGGCCATGTGGTACCAGGGTTAGAACTTTTTATGGAGCAGATTGAAATCTCCCTTCAATGACAGAGACTCCAGAGACTGCAAATAGCAAGCAGGATTTTTTGTAAGAATGGCTAGCCAGGGTCCCACCACCTACACAGACACGCAGGTCTGGCAGGTTGGGTAAAAGACCCCAAATTTCTTCAGAGGAGAACTTATATAGGCCTTCACTGACCAATACAGCAGAGCCCGTGCATTTCATAGCCAATAGATTTGTAATAACAGATACTTTCCTAACCAATCCGATTAAGGGTACATCACTTCTTAGCCTATAGTTTAAAGATCAGCATTTGCATCAGTGCTTAGGAATGTCCTGGGTTTTAGGGCAGTCCTGGGTCTTGCAACATGGGTATTTTGAGAAACATCCGGTTATCTGGTCTGACCCCCATCCTTCGAGTGCCTGTTTCTGAATTCCTTGCTCAGGGGCAGAAAAACCAGTTATTTTGCAATGCAGGTTCCTATTAAGCTAAGCTAAATTAATTCTGGTGGTGGTCCATTTTGGGCCTGTCCCTCACAGAACTCAGATCCCAGGGCGGAAACTTCCCCACTGGGCTCTCTCGCCTCACAGTGTTCCTTAAAACCGGACTTTCTGGTCTGACTTTCTACATATTCTTCAAATCTAGGCCTGGGAAGACCTGTCTCAGTCATAATCAAGGGCCACTGGGGAATCAATGATTGTTTCATCAGTGATAGAATTATGGATTCATCTCAAATTTAAGACCAACAAGATACTTCAGACATTATTTCAGGGGAATTCATACCATGACTTCATAGGATATGATGGACACTTTTCAGATGTACAAAATGAAATGATTTTTCTGCAGTCAAAGGAAATCTTCAGGACAAAGTTTGGGACGTCACGCTTACTATTTCTGGGACATGATGTAGCTAATAGTCTCTGAGTCTTGGCCACTGATGGGATTACATGGTGCCGGGGGCCAGGTGGTAGGTGTGACCCCCGCCTACTGGAATTTGGAGGATCTGGGTGGAGGATGCTCGACTCCAATCTGAGTAGGCTGGGAGATCTCGGCCCCGGAACCCGCGTGGCTTTGTCCCTCTGCCAGTACCTTCATGTGTGCGGAGAGTGGTCTCAGCATGGTGGTGGCTGGTCCTGGAGGTCTTCGGCTGCCGGAGCCCTGGTCGAGGTGGGGAGGAAAGCTCAACCCGCTCCCCTCCAAGGGACCCCGGCGAGGAACAGCCAGGCGCAGGGGCAGGAGACTGCACTGGTCTCGTCCGGGGGCTGGATTTTATAGTCTCTGAGTCTTGGCCGCTGATGGGATTACACGGCACCAGGGGGCCAGGTGGTGGGTGTGACCCCCGCCTACTGGAATTTGGAGGATCTGGGTGGAGGATGCTCTACTCCAATCCGAGTAGGCTGGGAGATCTCGGCCCCGGAACCTGCGTGGAACCTGCGTGGCTTTGTCCCTCTGCCAGTACCCATCAGCAGCCAAGACTCAGAGACTATAAAATCCAGCCCCCAGACGAGACCAGTGCAGTCTCCTGCCCCTGCGCCTGGCTGTTCCTCGCCAGGGTCCCTTGGAGGGGAGCGGGTTGAGCTTTCCTCCCCACCCCGACCAGGGCTCCGGCAGCCGAAGATCTCCAGGACCAGCCACCACCATGCTGAGACCACTCTCCGCACACATGAAGGTACTGGCAGAGGGACAAAGCCACGCGGGTTCCGGGGCCGAGATCTCCCAGCCTACTCAGATTGGAGTCGAGCATCCTCCACCCAGATCCTCCAAATTCCAGTAGGCGGGGGTCACACCCACCACCTGGCCCCCTGGTGCCGTGTAATCCCATCAGCGGCCAAGACTCAGAGACTATAAAATCAAGCTCCCTGAACCGCGCGGCTGCATTTGCGGCCGCGCGACATCTTATCAGGACATCTTTTTATGACATCTTATCTC